TAAGTTTAATTTTGCTTAAAGTTCAATTTTGTCTAGGACATATATATTCATCACATCATTTGTTTAGAAGAACAGAAAAAAAATATTAAATAAACAATTCATTCAACTATCTACATATTTGAAAGTGGAAGAGAATAACAAACAAACAAACAAAAAATAAATTGAAGTTGGAATATAAAAGTCAATAAGCAAACGAACAAACAAAAAGAAAAGAAGAATCAAGTAGTATTTAGGTGGTAATAGATTTCTAGAATAATTATATATTTTTTTTATAATGCTTAATATATAAGAAAGAATAGATCGAAGTGTTTATATATAATTTCGATCTTTAAGTATAGATGAAGCTAGTGAACGAGATGTTGTTATATTGTCATCAGATGAATATCTAGCATTTTCACGATCGCTTATTTTTGTTCGAAGATCGTTCGTTTTCAGTCGACCTAGAAATATAAATTAAATTAAGTTTTTTTCTTGATTTTTTTTCTAAAACTAATAAAGATCTAAGCTTATAAAGCAGTTAGTGTTTACAAATGTCAGACACCGAGAGCGCGCATGCGCACCCTTTGTCACTTACCAACGACGTCAGCATACGACTGGTACGTCGCGACTTATCGATGCTGAAGAAATAAATACAAAAATATAAATCAGCATCAGCAATAGAAATAATCAATATTCAAATACATTCTTAACAACAAACAGAAGCATAGGCATCTTTTTCCTTAGGCATATGTTACACATTAAACACAAAGCATAAGTAAGCGGGCAATGAAAAAAAGAAAACCAAAAAAAATGTCACAAAAGCGTAACAAAAACCAGAAAGGCACTTTCGAAACTTTAGCAAATATTCTACCGTAGTAGTAGTAGTAGACCGAAGATTTCGTGCTGGTATAGGTGGAGGTATTTGATGCTGTGTTTGTCGAGTGCCATCATGAGATGAATGTGGCGGTGGTGGTGGTGGTGGACGATTATGATTAGATCGAACATCACCACGAACCGAAGATGATGGTTGATGTACTCGATTAGTATTTAATTCATTCAACACTCCACCAAATATTTCAACTTCTGAACGGTTATATATTACAGAAAAACAGAAAATAAAATTATACGTAGATAAAACGGGGGAAATTAGAAAGAAAATGTTCAAGTTTTTTTTAAAAGATAATAAGTTTACCTGGTGGTCGACGAACTCGTCTTGGTTGTGAAGTCATATTAGCGTCTTTGAGAACAGACATAAGATTTGATACAACATCAGTATCTTCATCACCTATAAATGATTAATTGAGAAAAAAAACTATTTGATAGATAAAATTATGCAAAATTATGTTACTTGGTTTAAAGAATGGTTTTTGTTCAGCTTTTGGTTCTGCACGATGTTTCTTTCGTATATCATCAACAAGTTGTTTTGACATTTGTGCACGTTTAGCTTTTTCATCTTGTTCACGCCATAGACGATTTTCTTGTAGACATGTTAAAAATACTGTACAAAATGTTTTTAAATCAGTAAAAAACTCGTTTAATGGACATTTTTTAGGATCAATTGTTAAATAATCACATAAATCTTGATATGCACTTGTCATTTTAGTATTTAATACTTCAAGTCTTTCAATATCATCTCGTGCTATTTTAACAAAACCCTAAATCAACAAAAAAAAATATATGTATATATTAAAGATAATTCTCTTTTTTCTTAAGTTTTATTACTTCCATTGTTTGAGCAAAACGATCTCCTGATATTGAATCTGTTGTTGCATTTTTAGCATTATCTAAATCTGTTTGTGCACTACTAACACGTGATTTTATTTCATTTAATATTCTTTGTAATTCATTAGTATCAACTATGAAAAGAAAAAAATAAAAATAAAAAATTTTTTTCTTCTTAAAAACAAAAAAAAATGGATTAATAATTTTCTTACTTTTTGATGCTACTTCAGCAACACCTTGAAATTCATCACCAAATTTTAATAAATCTGCATGATCTTTTTCAATTTCTTGTATAATAAAATGTAATAATGTTCGTTTACCATCATTAGCTTTTGTTGAATGTAACTATTTAAATGAAAAAAAATTTATCATTAAAAAATAAGAAGAAAAAAAACACAAGATGATTTTTACTTTTGGAAGAAAACTAATATCAAAACCATATATTGGTTCATATGTTTTACCACTTGAATTCATATAATTACCAATTGTTAATACAAGTTCAATTAATTTTGGAAAACGTTTAGAACGACGAACTGTTTCAGAGGCTTGTCGTGCAGCAACAAAATTCTATCAAAGACATTGAAGAATATATTTGTTGTTCATATATCGGAAAAAAGTATTCTAAGAAAAATCCTGAGAGAGTTTGGACTGATGAAGCTTACTTTGAAGGTTATAACCATTTTACTGAATTTTTTCCATCTAGCACAAGGTATCTACAGAAAAATTGAACAACAGAATTTCAATCTGAAATTTTGCTCATATGTAGTTCTTGTAATCATTGGAACACTCTAAAAGTTTCAATGGAAAAATATGTTTCTTTGTCGAAATGTTCGATTTTTAAAAAACGTCAATTTGTTAGGACTTTATAGATTATGAGACATTTCTTTTTTTCAGAATGGATGCCTCAAAAAGGAAACATTTTCTTTTTTTGAACGTTCCTATCACAACAAGAACTACATATGAGCAAGATTTCAGAATAAAATTCTGTTGTTCACTTTTTCTTTATATACCTTGTGCTAGGTGAAAAAAAAATCAGTAAAATAATCATAACCCTCTAAGGAAGCCCCATCAGTCCAAATGTTCTTAGAATCATGTTCCCAATATATAAACAAAATATCATTGAAAATAGCGTAGATCAGTTAGAGATCTTCCCTCGTTAGTTATCTCAGTGGTAACAATTCAAAGTATATGCCTATTTTAGAATATAAAATTATGCGACAAAAATATAGTAGAATGTTTGTTATTTAATTTATAGTACAATACAAAAAGCAAGTAAACAAATGAGAATTGATATTTTGAACAGAATTACATAAATTATTAGTGTTTTTTTTTAAATTTTCGCTTTCTTTCAGAAATCATATCATCTAAAGTATTTCAAAAAATCTAAATGAATAATAATAATAATATCACATAGTTTAAGGCAATCACTCGGCTGATCATAGTTTGATCGAAAATAAAAATTCGAAAAGTTCTTTAGAAAATTTTCATCATTAAACTACACTTTTTATTTGTGAGTATTGATTTGGATTAAGAGAAAACTCATACTCTCCGTATTGTTTCTCTTCAACATTTATCCATTCGATATTTTCATTTTTCTAGTGACAAATTTTGTTCAATTTAGCACTCTAATATGTCTCGCCACTTGAAATTTCATCGTTATCATTAGTATTATTCCAGAATACTTACTTTTTCTGTTTCTTCAAGTAATTCTTTGTATTGACTTTTAAATAGAAGTATTTTAATACGTTGTTGTAAACGTTTTATATCGCTAACCTATTTATAATAAATATATATTTTTCTTTTTAAACTATAAAATTTGAACTTACAGCACAAAAATATTGTTCAGCATCAGGTAAATCATATATTTCATTTTTTAATTCTGAAAGTTTTTTTAATTCTTCTGGACTAGGAAATGATTTATCTAATTGAGCAAGTAAATCACTCGTTAAATGTTCACTATCACAAGCAAGAAGCCATTGACGAAATTGTTGTGGAGTTGATTTTAATTGACTAAACATAATAGCTAGAAAAAAAAACGAATAACAATTGCATGATAAAAACAAATAAAAATTATCAAACCAAAATTTTGACCAGCACGTGGATCAAGTACACGAAATTCCTTTGTTTTTTTCGCTGTTGTTGTTGATGATGATTCATTATCACTATCAGCAAGATTTTTAACTGTTAAATAAGAAATATAATTTTTTTTTTGAATAATTGATTAATTCATTTCATGGATACATACTAGGAGCTGATTTTGTAGCAAAATTTTCTTTAATTGTTGTAAAAAATGCTTTATTTTGAAAATTTTTTTCATCAATATTTGCCCAAATTGATTCTTTTTTTATTGATTGTGGATTGATTTTATTCCAAGCTACTTTTTTTACAGCTTCACCAACAACATATTTTTGTTTTTTTGGTAAATATTCAGGCACTGGTGGTGGACCTCAAAATAGTTTATAAAAAGAAAACTATCGATAGATAATTTCAAAACACGTTTTGTATATACCAAATGAAGGAGCATTCATGTTCATCATCGGTGGGGGTGGTGGACCTCCACTACCGGTCATTCCAGGAAATGGTGGAGGAGGTGGTGGTGGCGGTCCTCCGCTACCTACCATACCTGGAAATGGTGGAGGAGGTGGCGGTGGTACACCACCTTCTGTCATCATTGGAGGTGCTGGTGGTATAAGACCTGGAAAAATGGTTTATTTCGATTTTTCTTTTCAAAAGGCGAGAAAGCAGAAGAATAAAACAAAAACATAAGCAAAAGCAAAAGAAGCAAATAAGCCACACGATTTAATCTGACCTGGCATAGGAGGAGGTGGTGGAGGAATATTTCCTGTAGATATATTTATAGAGAATTATTCTTTTACTAACAATAAATCTTTTTTCTTTGTATTTTTTTTTTGAATATATTACCTGGTGGTGGAGGTGGTGGCATTAAATCACCAGGTAATGGAGGTGGTGGTGGAATATTTCCTAATGATGGTGGCATCGGTGGCGGTGGTGGCGGCATGTTGCCTGTTGATGATGGAAGAGGAGGTGGTGGTGGAATGTTACTAGCAGATCCAATAATCGATATTGATTCTCCAAAAATATCAGCGTATTGTTTTTTAAAATTAATTGCTGTTTCTGTATCGACCTATTCAAAAAAACAAATTTCATTCAGTCGGGGATTTTTGTTTTTGTTTTGTTTTAATGAGAAGAATTCTTTTTCTTTTTCGTATACCTTGCTTAAAATATTTTCAAGTGCTTTTGTTAATTTTTCTCTTGTTTTTTCAAGATGTTCAACACGTTCTTTCATTAAATTAATTTGTATTTCATTTTCTGTTACTGTTAAATTATTGACAGCATTTCCAGCCATTTGTGATAAATCATGTAATGAACCATTACGTACTGATGATAGATGATCACTTAAACTTAGACCAGAATCTCCAATTGATTCACTATCCATTGAATATGTATCAAAATCAGGATCACATGCTGTTTTTGAAAAAACAATACGTGTTATACATTCATCAATTAAACGAAGATAAGAAAAACTTTAAAATAAAAATTATTTAATATTTAAAACAAAATATAAAAACAATTTCTATTAACAAACCGAATAGCTTGATCATCTCGAATACAGATAAGTCGATTAATAATACTTGAAAGTATAGGTTCTGATGAAGTATTTTTTACTAAACCATATAAATAATCAAAACAAGCTTGAAGATCACTATAAGGAGAAAAAAAACAAATTTATTTTTTCTCTTTATTTAAAAAGAAAAAGAAAGAAGAAATTTTAATATTCTTACGCCCATGTATTAGATATTGATTCAAGTTTAATATTCATTGATTGATAATCATCATCAATGTGATGAAGAAATAAATTAATTTGTGTTAATAAATTATCTTTTTGTTTTGGATCTTCACATTCATTAACTCGTTTTTGTAATTCCTATTGAATGAAAATTATAAAACGAAACAATAGAAAAATCTTATTTCTACTTCAAAACGTGATTTAAAACCAGAACGAAATAATTCACTACGTAAATGATATCGATGTTCTGTTGATAATGTAACAAATATAGCATTGATACACATTAAAAAACTACTCTGAAATAGATAAAAAATAAACAAATAACATAAAAACTAAAAGTTTAGTAGATTTTGATTTACATACAGCTATTTCTATTGTTCCATTAAGTTCATGAATTAGACATTCAAAACGTTCACGACCAGGACACCATTTTTGAGCAGATTTTGAAAGAAGTTGAACTATATTTTGACCATTAGAAGGACTAAAATTAAATGAAGTATTATTAGAATTTATTTTCAATGAAGAATATTTGAAAACTTTTCTCTTCTTTAATATTTTATGCATTATTTATATAATCAAATATTAAAGATCATAAACAAATTATTTGATGCTTTTAAATAATACAAGTAACTTGAAATCGACATTAGAGATGTGTAGGGTAAACTTTTTTCATATCTGTGTTCAGGCTGATAAGGCAAGTTCCCGAAGTTATTCATCACTATTGAGTTGGGTCTATACACATCATGTAGATCCTAATAGATTATAAATACTCTGAAAAGAGCTCTGGTTGCTAGCTGATTACTGCCGAGATATTGCATTTTTAAGATATATTTTTAGTCAATGTCATGGCTCCCTCAAGAATACTGGGGAAATTCATTTTTGAATTTCAACTTGAAACTTTCTATAGAGACAGAATCTAATGCGAATAGTTTGTGATGAAAGTTTCAGATTATTTCGTTATTCCTATTCTGAAATACATCTGTAATAAAAGCTTATCTTCTAGACGGTTCTTATACACTGGTAAATTTGATGCTCTTATTTCCGAAATTTGAAAATGATTAGCTAAGGGTCCGAATTATTATCAGGATATTCATAACTCATGAGGATCTACATGATGTACATAGTCCAGACTCCAAAGCGATTAACTAGTTGGGGGACTTCTCTCATAAAAGAAATTTGCTTACCTTTATCCTACCCTATTCTATATATCTCTAATCGACATCTATGTTAAGAACTAATATATTTGATTCTTTGAATATTGACAGGTATAAATGAATCTATGTCCCAACAGGAGGAAAATGCAATAATATTCTTTTTCAACTTTTCAATACTTTTGTTTTTTTTCTTTTTGTATTAGACATAAAAGCTAATGGCACGAAGACGAATGATACTCTATGGAATAGTTTTATGATAAATTTTCATCTATTGTTTTGATCTATGTTCATACTTCACTATAAGGACAATAAATAAACTTATAATAGATCACAAAAATATTTACTGTATATAATCCTATATATTTCAACTAAATAAAAAATTGAATTATAAAATTTACTTATTTTCATTTGGCATAGCCAATGCAAATAAAAGAATCGCACATGTAAGTTTAGTTTTATTTGAACGTTCATCATTTTCCGAATATAAAATATTTAATACATCAATTGTAATTTCAGCTATATCTTTTGCAAGTGATTCTTTCATGGAATTAAAATTCCAACCAAGATTAAGATAATTTTTAAATGCTTCAATACCAGCAGCAAGTATTTCATATAATGTACTTTGTTTTTCACGACGTTCATCACCATCACGATTAATTTTTCTATTTCAAAAAACAAAAAATTCTTATCTTATTTTCTTTTTAAATATTAAAATCAATTAAAATATACTCTCTTGTATATTGTATTTTAGTGATACATGCTCGCATTGCTTTAAGCATTGCATTTGGACCATTATAATTTTCACCAAATACTTTACTCCATTTTAAACCATATTTTTTTAATGAAAATGCAACACGTTCAAATGTTTCTTTACTATTTTTTGAATAAATATTATCAATAGTAACATTATTTAAACATTGAATTTGATATTCAGGTGATTTAGCACCACTCATTTCATTCTAGATTAAATTATTATATTAATTGTCTTCTTGGTTAGTTTTTTTTTTTAATATTTTAACTTACAGTGGCAAGTTTATAATGTGAAATAAGCATTTCTCTCATATGTGCTGTTGTTGTTTGTTCAAACATTTTCTTTTTTGTTTCATTTCCTTCCAATAAATCATCCTTAAATATTCAAAATTTATTAGTATCTTATTAATAAAAAAAAAAGAAAATAATTACTAACCATAACAGATTTAAAACGTTCTCGTACTTCATCATCATTAAGTGTACTAACATCAAAATCATTAGATGTTGTAGATGATGAAACTATAGTTGAATCAGATGCACCATAAAGTATAAATGTACTTTCATTAGGAGCATTTAAATGATTTCCTTTATTATTAGAACTTGATGCATTATTACCAGAATTCATTCCAAATGGAAGTGGAGCACGTGATTTTCCAGCTGATTTTCTCATTGATTTCTAAAATTTAATTTAATTTAGTTTATGTTTCTATAGCAAGAATAATATCATTTCAAATATTCGATGATAAATATTTTTGAAATCCATCTTTTATTATACATAAGGTATGTACACAATTCAAACTTTCTGCAAAATTGTTTTTTTCTTCAAATGTTTTTTTTGCAAACCCAGATAGAGTGCATCCAATTACCTAGAAAAATTGTTTATTCAGTTTCGTTTTGAAAAATCTCGAATTTTAGATGTCATAACAAAAAAAAATGTCAATTTCTCAAGCGTCCGTGAATATAATATGGTTTCTCGTTCTTTGCAACAATGTAAATATTTATATCTCGATTCTCAACATAAAATTGAAATACATAAAGAAATCTTAAAGTTACTCTGTTTGTATTCAATTTTTGTGTTGCAACCCAGAAAAAAATATTTGGTGTCGTACAGAACAAAAAAACATGTTATATTCACTGATTATATGAAAAAGTGACATTCTTCCTCAATAAATGGATGCGCTCTATCTAATTACACACACCTTATTATATCAATGAATTGATAGGGATACTCTCGTTTTTAAGGTTTCTGCTGTCGTTTTAAACTAACATGGATAAGTGATAACTCAATGAAGCCTTTGTAGAATATGATCTCATTAACGCAAGTAATAAATTCTTCATTTGGACGTTTTTCTTTTCAAATTCTGTTATTTAATTATCCATCTATTTATAATGAACAAATACATTATGTCATATCGTTAGTGCAATATATGTCTATATTAACACATCAATAGCATTATATAGGCAATATATTACAATTCCACTAAATTAATCTAGAATATTTTGTTTTTGTCAAATACAATAGACTTATAAAAGAAACATTATGGGTTTACAATAAGTACAGAATGATATTTATATGCTATAATATAAGTTTAGAATTTCAATATATTATCGTTTATAACTGTTTTATACTATAGTTGTCAGACCACAACAAAAAAAGCTATGCATATTGAAAAGAGAACATATGTCGTACTTAATGTAAATTTAATGTAAAAATATGAATGAATGCAAGAGTAATTTTATCAAAATAAAAAAAAATCGTAAAATCTAATTCAAATTATTCTTAAAGAAAATGTCTTCTTAGTTATAATACATAATCTATAAAACTTACCATAAATATTTGTGAAAGTGTTCCACCCTAGATAATCAAAACAAAACTAAAAATTTCCTTAAAATTAAATATTTTTATTGTTTTGTTTACCGTATTTCCTTTTGTCTTAGTTTTTCCTTCTTTTGTCTCACGTTCTTGATTTCCATCATCACTCATTATTATTATTATTATTATCTAGTTCAATTTAATTTTCAAAATATCTTATCTAAAATACGAACAAAGAAAAGTCTCATTTCTATTTATGATACAATTGAATTTTTAATTAAATTTCCATAAATTTTTGCATTCTGTCGATTTTGATGTTTTATTATCATTGCACATAAACGATCATTTTCATATTGTCGTTTTTGTTTTAAATATGTATTATTTGTTGTTTTTATATTTGGTATAATACGATGATGATATTTAGTATTATGACGATAAATTTGATTAACACGCTCTTTTGATTGTTGAATAAATGAAGATTTTCGTTGTTGAAATGCATCTTGTAAAGATGGACTATCTTCACTATTATTATTATTATTATTATTTAATGAATTTAAAGGTAAAAAAAATGTTAATGATGATGAAGATATTTGTTTTGATTGTTTAATTATTTGTTGAATTTGTTTTAATAGAACTGCTTGTTTCTGTTGACAAGCAATTAATTCGTTAAATAATTCATGTAATAAAGATGATTGATCACTATTCTGTGATAATGTCTGAATAGAAAGTGCATAAAAATAAAAATCAATATTATTTTTGTATGAATTTTTATGATAGGTTATAAATATATATTTTTTTTGTTAAGTGAAAATGTATTTTCAATAGAATCGTGTTAAAAAATAAGAGTTTCGAGAAATTTTTTTTTTGAATAAGAAATGTGTTGAATACAATGATTGCAATCAAGTAAGAAAGAGGAAAAAAAAAAAGAAAAATTTCAATTTTTTTTCTTTTTCTATTTAACTTGAAGGATTTTTTATAGTACTTTGTCAATGTGAAAAGAGAGTCAAGAACAAAATTCTTTTTGTTAAAGTTAAATGAAATAATCTAAGGTTCGAAATTTATTATTTTAATAATAAACCTACATAACTTACTGATTGATTCGTTTCGATTTCATCTGTTATAGATTTTTCTTCATTTATTTTTATGCTTTGTTTTTTCATAGATACTTCTGAATAAAGAATCATATCGTCATCATTTTGTGATGCTATTGATAATGATGATGATAATGATAATGATTGTTGAATGTCTAAACAAGTAAAACAATATGCAAAAAACTGAAATTGAAACCATTGTTTTTCTTGTATTCTATCAAAGGTTTCAATAGTTCGATTCTCTGTTTAATTATCAATATGATGCTAGTAAAATTTAACCTTTCGATTCGATATATAATGTCATACGTGCAGTTGTTTGAAATGTTTTTATCGTGTTGAGTTCGAACAATAAATCATCGTTTGCAAACAGTTAAACAATAATAGAGGTTATTGTAAAGAATTCCTAAGAACAAGATTTCAAATATGAAATGGAATTTTTCTTACGATATTTTTTTAAGCTATGTTAATCCATCGGTCCGATTAAAAGTCATATATAAGATTCATGATGAATAATACTCCCACGTGACATCATTGACACCTTTTTCTATGCACTTATGTTTTATTTTTTAGGTGTATGTTATTCATTCTGTGATGCAAACGATACCTGCAGGTTCATAATTAGTTATTGGATGAGATCTATAGTTCTTTGATTTTGTTGATGGTGACTTGGTATAATAATTTTCATCCGATGATAATTGAATAATATCTGTTGAAGTTCGTAATTTCTGTTGAAGAGAAAAAAGAAATATTCTGTATTATTTTGAATTTCTCATCTTACAGTTTCAAGTTGTTTTGTAATAAGTTCCCAATCGATATTATCATCTTCTGTATCATTATTATTATATGATGAAGATGATAAACTATGAGTATCCGAATCAAATGATAAATCATGAATAGTATGTGATTTATTAATTGTATGAATTCGTGTAAATGATTGTGGTTCGGATGCAAGAGAAGAGAAATTGTTTCTGTCTTTTGAAGTTATACGATCTGTATGAGTTTGAATCATTTCTAAAAGTAAATGTAAAATCGAGGAAAAAAAACGGATTGCGTAGGAGTTAAGAAAAAGAATATATAAATGAAAGGATTAGTTACTAGTAATCTGTATTTAATCAAAACAATCATCATTTGTAACTTTGAAAAAGAGAAGACATTTCTTCTTCGTGTATATGTGTGTGTGCCTATATCGTTGTTCGTAGGTCTTCATTTTGTGTAAATAAAAAACAAAAACTCTAATGAATTGTCAAGGTATTGTTAACTTATCTCAAACTATCAGTTGAAATAAAACAATAAGACAACGAAAAGAAGAGGAAAGGTTTTGCCTTTTTCTTTTTTTTTTTGTGTGTGTGATTTCGATTCATCAAGGCTGAGTCAAACAAAAGATAGTATGAATCATTTATTGCTCACTACGTAAATTTAAAGTGTGACGAAAGAAAAAAAAAAGTAAAAATAAGTCATACTAGATGGCGTTAGAGCGCTGTGTATAATATGAATTAAGCGTTTTTCTTCTAAACAAAACTAATCAATAATGAAAATGTATGTTTCTAATGCAATGAAAATTCATACATAATACATTCTCAATGAAAAATATTGAAAATTACCAAGATGTAATGAGCGAAACATGTGATTTCAAATACTTTAGTTTTGATCACTACACTTTATCGCCCAGAAGTATTGATCAAAACTGCTTTCGACCAACGAAGAGAATCATATTGGTTAAAGTAAATTAGATGATATTACTAGATGAGAAAAACGATTTTTATAAACAGTATTAATATTACTTACTCATTGTACAGAACAGAAAGTTTAATATTCACCAAAAAAAAAAGATTTTTTTCTTAAAGCTCAAAGAAATTGAAATTAAATTAAAAAACTTCTTTGATCTAAAAGATGTAGAAATATCTTCGTGATTTTCTAGTCTGATACCTTACTTGAGGACGTCAAGTTTAGATTGTCATCTATTCTCAATTGTTGCATTTATATTTCAAACAGAAGATAAGGCTTCTTTTTCCTCTTGCTCGCTTCATGCATTTGAAAGTTGAGGTGAGTCAGTCAAATAAAAGAAATTTTAAAGTAAACATATTATATCAAATGATAATACTTATTGAACATCTATTTGAGTTCAAAAAAACAACAGCTTCATTTTAAAATCAATTTTGAATGAACTTTTTTTTTATTTCGTGACACTCTTTTTTATCTTTTAATCGTTTATTTGAAGATTTTCGACTAAATAATTCATTGTTATGAAATTCAATAAATCAATTTCATGGTTTTATTTGTTTTGAATGTTTATCATTAAAATTATTGAATACAATTTCAGATTAGATCATTTGACGAGATTTTTTCGTCATACTAAACGAGAATAGTGTCTAATTACTTGTAGATAAATTTGCCAAAAAAATTTATTATAGAGCAGATTTAGATACATAAATAAAAAATTATTAAGAGAAAATATGAATATAGAAAAGAAGAAAATCAATATTTTTTTATTCCCAAGATATTCATTCAATGTTAATGTTTGTTGTTTCAAACGTTCTTCTAAATTATGTAATTGTGCATTTCGGTTTATAAATAACTTTTTTCATGGAAGTAATTTAACGTAAGTGAAGTTAGCGTCCGATTCAAGTAATTCTGCCGCCGATTCGCCCAGGAACATGTTCCAAGTGTTCCATTTGTGTTCCAAGTACAACTTGATGAGCTCTATCGAATGGTGTATTCAGAGTTTACGTAGCTCAAACTATGTCTTCGCAAACCTCAAAATACTAGTCCAAAAGTATGAGAAATAGTCCATCAGCATAGTAATTCTATCGCCGATTCGTTCAGGAACATGTTCCAAGTGTTTCATTTGTGTTGAGGGATGTCATAATATCCGAAACTCGGATATCGAGATTCTCAAACATCGCCATATCCTTAAAGAGTGAGGATTTTGAGTGAATTTGGTGTAACGAGATGCATACCCAAAATGGGTGGGTATGTGTGTGGGGTGTGGGTGTGGGCAGGGGTGTCGCATCAGTGTTAGCATTAGCATTAATGTAATACTAATCCTAATACTTTGGCATTAGGATTTATCATTAACACTAACGCTTTCGTATTAATGGCACTAGTGTTAATTAATGCAAGGTGTTAGAATGAAATCAGCATTAATTTTAATGCTAATGCCTCCTAGTTGTGCCTACCAGGCTAAAATTACATGAGATGCTACTGGCAATCCTAGTTTGCTAGTAGCATCACCTGGAATGCTTCTAGCGTTGCTTAAAATGACACTAAAATTGCTAAGAATGCTAGAAGCATTCTGTGGCTTCTAGTAGCTTCCAAGGGCCGCTAGTAGCATCCCAGGACTGCTAGGTGCATCCAAGGACTGCTAGTATCATTCTACGAATGCTGAAGGCTTCCCAGATGGTGCTACTAGAATTAGGGATGAGTTTAGTAGTATCCCAGGAACACTGGAAGCATCGAAGATGATGCTTGTGGCATCCCAGTAATCCGAACGCATCCCTGATGCTGCTACAGGTATCCCAGGTGATGCTAGTAGGATGCCAGGTGATGCTAATAGTATCTCAGGACTGCTAGCAGTATCTCAGGAATGCTAGAGACTTCTCAGGTGGTGCTGGTGGCATCCCAGGACTGCTAGTAGGATGTCAGAAATGCTAGATGCTACCAAGGTAAGGCTATTAGCATCTCTGGACTGCCAGAGGCACTCCTGGTGATGTTAGTAGCATCCCAGGCATGTCAGACGCATCTCTGGTGATACTAATAGGCACCCAAGTGATGCTAGTTGGAACCCAGGTGATGCTAGTGGTATATCTGGGGTGCTAGTAGGACCTCAAAATGCTAGAGACTTCCCAGGTGGTACTAGTAGTATATGGAGAATGCCAGAGGCTACCAAGGTGAGGCTATTAGCATCCCAGGTGAATCTAATACCATCCCAGGTATACTAGAGGCTTCCCGGATGATGCTAGTAGCGTCTCATGTAATTTCAGACTTATAGGCACAACTAGGAGGCAGTAGCATTAAGAATTAATGCTAATTTAATGCTAATACCTTGCATTAATTAACGGTAATGTCATCAGTGCCAAAGCA